AATGGGTATCTGGTGGCAACCATGGAGACAGGAGAGTTCAATGGGTATCTGGTGGCAACCATGGGGACAGGAGAGTACAATGGGTATCTGGTGGCTAAGATGGAGACAGGAGAGTACAATGGGTATCTGGTGGCTAAGATGGAGACAGGAGAGTACAACGGGTATCTGGTGGCTAAGATTGAGACAGGAGAGTTCAATGGGTATCTGGTGGCAACCATGGGGACAGGAGAGTACAATGGGTATCTGGTGGCTAAGATGGAGACAGGAGAGTTCAATGGGTATCTGGTGGCTACAATGGAGACAGGAGAGTACAATGGGTATCTTGTGGCAACCATGGGGACAGGAGAGTACAATGGGTATCTGGTGGCCACAATGGAGACAGGAGAGCACAATGGGTATCTGGTGGCCATGATGGAGACAGGAGAGTACAATGGGTATATGGTGGCCACAATGGAGACAGGAGAGCGCAATGGGTATCTGGTGGCAACAATGGAGACAGGAGAGTACAATGGGTATCTGGTGGACACAATAGAGACAGGAGAGCGCAATGGGTATCTGGTGGCTACAATGGAGACAGGAGAGAACAATTGGTATCTGGTGGCCACAATAGAGACAGGAGAGCGCAATGGGTATCTGGTGGCTACAATGGAGACAGGAGAGAACAATGGGTATCTGGTGGCCACAATAGAGACAGGAGAGCGCAATGGGTATCTGGTGGCTACAATGGAGACAGGAGAGCACAATGGGTATCTGGTGGCCACAATGGAGACAGGAAAGTACAATGGGTATCTGGTGGCCACAATGGAGACTGGAGAGCACAATGGGTATTTGGTGGTCATGATGGAGACGGTAGAGCACAATGGGTATTTGGTGGTCATGATGGAGACAGGAGAGCACAATGGGTATCTGGTGGCCACAATGGAGACAGGAGAGTACAATGGGTATCTGGTGGCCATGATGGGGGACAGGAGAGCACAATAGGTATCTGGTGGCCACGGTGGGGACAGGAGAGTACAATGGGTATCTGGTGGCTACAATGGAGACAGGAGAGTACAATGGGTATCTGGTGGCCACAATGGAGACGGTAGAGTACAATGGGTATCTGGTAGCCACAATGGAGACGGTAGAGTACAATGGGTATCTGGTGGCCACGGTGGGGACATGAGAGCACAATGGGTATCTGGTGGCCACAATGGAGACAGGAGAGCACAATGGGTATCTGGTGGTCATGATGGGGGACAGGAGAGCACAATGGGTATCTGGTGTCCACAATGGAGACAGGAGAGTACAATGGGTATCTGGTGGCAACAATGGAGACAGGAGAGTACAATGGGTATCTGGTGGCTAAGATGGAGACAGGAGAGTACAATGGGTATCTGGTGGCCACAATGGAGACAGGAGAGTACAATGGGTATCTGGTGGCTACAATGGAGACAGGAGAGTTCAATGGGTATCAGGTGGCTAAGATTGAGACAGGAGAGTTCAATGGGTATCTGGTGGCTACAATGGAGACAGGAGAGTTCAATGGGTATCTGGTGGCTACAATGGAGACGGGAGAGTACAATGGGTATCTGGTGGCTACAATGGAGACAGGAGAGTACAACGGGTATCTGGTGGCTAAGATGGAGACAGGAGAGTTCAATGGGTATCTGATGGCAACAATGGAGACAGGAGAGTTCAATGGGTATCTGGTGGCAACGATGGAGACAGGAGAGTTCAATGGGTATCTGATGGCAACAATGGAGACAGGAGAGTTCAATGGGTATCTGATGGCAACAATGGAGACAGGAGAGTACAATGGGTATCTGGTGGCAACGATGGAGACAGGAGAGTTCAATGGGTATCTGGTGGCAACCATGGGGACAGGAGAGTACAATGGGTATCTGGTGGCAACCATGGGGACAGGAGAGTACAATGGGTATCTGGTGGCTAAGATGGAGACAGGAGAGTTCAATGGGTATCTGGTGGCTACAATGGAGACAGGAGAGTACAATGGGTATCTGGTGGCAACCATGGGGACAGGAGAGTACAATGGGTATCTGGTGGCCACAATGGAGACGAGAGAGCACAATGGGTATCTGGTGGCCATGATGGAGACAGGAGAGTACAATGGGTATATGGTGGCCACAATGGAGACAGGAGAGCGCAATGGGTATCTGGTGGCAACAATGGAGACAGGAGAGAACAATGGGTATCTGGTGGACACAATAGAGACAGGAGAGAGCAATGGGTATCTGGTGGCTACAATGGAGACAGGAGAGAACAATTGGTATCTGGTGGCCACAATAGAGACAGGAGAGCGCAATGGGTATCTGGTGGCTACAATGGAGACAGGAGAGAACAATGGGTATATGGTGGCCACAATAGAGACATGAGAGCGCAATGGGTATCTGGTGGCTACAATGGAGACAGGAGAGAACAATGGGTATCTGGTGGCCACAATGGAGACAGGTGAGCGCAATGGGTATATGGTGGCTACAATGGAGACAGGTGAGCGCAATGGGTATCTGGTGGCTACAATGGAGACAGGAGAGAACAATGGGTATCTGGTGGCCACAATAGAGACAGGAGAGCGCAATGGGTATATGGTGGCCACAATGGAGACAGGTGAGCGCAATGGGTATCTGGTGGCTACAATGGAGACAGGAGAGAACAATGGGTATATGGTGGCCACAATGGAGACAGGTGAGCGCAATGGGTATATGGTGGCCACAATAGAGACAGGAGAGAACAATGGGTATATGGTGGCTACAATGGAGACAGGAGAGAACAATGGGTATCTGGTGGCCACAATAGAGACAGGAGAGCGCAATGGGTATATGGTGGCCACAATGGAGACAGGTGAGCGCAATGGGTATATGGTGGCTACAATGGAGACAGGTGAGCGCAATGGGTATCTGGTGGCAACGATGGGGACAGGAGAGCACAATGGGTATCTGGTGGCCGTGATGGAGACGTGAGAGTTCAATGGGTATCTGGTGGCCATGATGGAGACAGGAGAGTACAATGGGTATCTGGTGGCCATGATGGAGACAGGAGAGCACAATGGGTATCTGGTGGCCATGATGGAGACAGGAGAGTACAATGGGTATCTGGTGGCCATGATGGAGACAGGAGAGTACAATGGGTATCTGGTGGCCACGATGGAGACGGGAGAGTACAATGGGTATCTGGTGGCCATGATGGAGACGGGAGAGTACAATGGGTATCTGGTGGCCATGATGGAGACAGGAGAGTACAGTGGGTATCTGGTGGCGACAATGGAGACGGGAGAGTACAATAGGTATCTGGTGGCGACAATGGAGACGGGAGAGTACAATGGGTATCTGGTGGCGACAATGGAGACGGGAGAGTACAATGGGTATCTGGTGGCTAAGATGGAGACAGGAGAGTACAATGGGTATCTGGTGGTCATGATGGAGACAGGAGATCGCAATGGGTATCTGGTGGCCACAATGGAGACAGGTGAGCGCAATGGGTATATGGTGGCTACAATGGAGACAGGAGAGTTCAATGGGTATCTGGTGGCAACGATGGAGACAGGAGAGTTCAATGGGTATCTGTTGGCAACGATGGAGACAGGAGAGTTCAATGGGTATCTGGTGGCAACGATGGGGACAGGAGAGTTCAATGGGTATCTGGTGGCTACAATGGGGACATAAGAGCACAATGGGTATCTGGTGGCCATGATGGAGACGGGAGAGTACAATGGGTATCTGGTGGCCATGATGGAGACGGGAGAGTACAATGGGTATCTGGTGGTCACAATGGAGACAGGAGAGTACAATGGGTATCTGGTTGTCATGATGGGGACAGGAGAGTACAATGGGTATCTGTTGACCACAATGACATTAGAGTACAATGGAGATCGGGTGGCCACAATCGGCTAGAGACGATCGTTACACGCAAAACTTCGCCTCACTGCTACAATCAATTTAATCAGTTTAATCAATCGAACGGTTCTGGAGTTAAAAAACGTGAACATGTGACCACTAACTCAACAAAGTGACCCGGACACAGGCCTGACAACGGACAATAGTCTCCAACACCTGGGGTATATATATATTGTGATGTGCATCAAGTGACATACATCGTCAGTACTTGGTATACATTTGGTATACATTATCCGTTTCTTCATCACCACCTCGTCAGTACACAAAAGGTGTGTATACACTTTACGTTCCTCGTCACCCGTGAATATATACGGTCACCCGTGCACTGTGCAGTGTTCCGTTGTAGAGACCATGGTCTCTGATCGTAGTCGCCATTTTCTTGTAACCAAGAAATCAAGCCATGGCCTGGTTCCATCAATGGGGAGCCAGCGAGTTCCCTGACCAATGAGCGCTGTTGTGTTACAGTAGAAATTGTTTAATTGTAGTGGTTGCCAGTGGCAGCAAATAATTGAAGCGCTGGTAAAATGTCGGGAGCTGGCGCGGCAAGATGGCAACAGGAAGTGTGATTTAGAGTTACCTGCCATGGTTCTTGACATATGTCTTCACTTCGTTCGAGAAGTGTCTGGATGAGGCAGTTTCTTGAAGGCTGGCTGTAACTACATAAGAGCGACACGAGGCCTTGTTGACTGACTTGCGTCCTTTCTAATGGCCTTTCTACGTTTTCAACCGCGGACGGGATATCTATCCGAAAACAGTGAATTTCTACTAGCTCCTAACACTATTCCTGATTTAAGAACAGAGACAGGTCTGTTCTGTTTCAAGACACTCAACAGTGACAATATGTTGACTGTCGCGAGGGCAATCACACATATTATAAGGTGAGGTGAAATGTGATATAACGTCGCGTCCAAGATAATTGCACTTATATAGCGATGTGCATGCACGTGTGTGTGTGCGTGTGTGTGTCTGCTAGTACGGACTAACGCCGATTTTATAGTGCTAACCCACTGATACACCATGCCGTAGTTTAACATGAATACCCGATTTTATTTACAGACCGGCGTCATATCCTGGGATTTTGCGGCGTTAAACAACAAACAAACAAACCTGCAGGGTTGATGTCGAACTTGGAGTGTTTCTTCCCCATGGTGTGGTGCGTAGCTGTTCCGGCAACAAGATGGCGGATGGAGCTGGCAGAGTAGCAAGATGGCGGGTTTATCTGACGGAGATTTTGTCACAGTCGCTCAGTCACACACCAGTCACAGGGGGAATCTGGAAATAAACAGAGTGAGTGAGTTTGATTTTAGCAATATGCCAGCAATATCACGGCGGGGGACACCAGAAATGGACTTTACACATTGTACTCATGTCGGGAATCGAACCCGGGTCTTCGGTGTTACAGAGGAACTATGTGTGTGTAGGTTCTCTTCAGTTGAAAGCTTTGTTTGTTTGCACACAACAATATTCCAGCTGTATGACGGCGGTCTGTAAATAATCGAGTCTGGACAAGACAATCCAGTGATTGACATCACGGGCATCAATCCACGCAATTGGGATCCGATGACATGCTTCAACCAAGTCAGCGAACCCGACCACCCGATCCCTTTAGTCGCCTCTTACGACAAGCATAGTCGACTTTCACGGTAAGCATGGGTTTGCTGAAGACCTATTCTACCTCGGATCTTTAAGGGTATTCAGTTGTCAGAAAACGCAGTCAGAAATATGCTAGCAATATTATCAGTCCGTAAATCGAGTATGATCCATTTTGTAAGAGGGGACTAGCGGGATCGGGTGCTCAGATTCGCTGTCTTGGTTGATGAATGTCATCGTATCCCACTTACGTAGATCGATACGTATTATGTCAGTTTCTGGATTGTCTGGTCCAGACTCGTTTATTTATAGACCGCCGCCATATAACTGAGTATGGCTGAGTGCGTCGTTAAACAACAAACAAAAAAACATTTTACGACAAGTATACATGGTGTACTTAGCCATGTGGTGACCTGGAATCCGAACAGGGCTAAATGGACGTCATTGTTCGTAATATTGCTGCTACATCATTTCGTAACTGTCGAATCTGATCCCGACAAACTATAGGTCGATAGTATGAGCATCAATAAAACATGGTGCTACGGAAAGGATCAGTTCACAACTGGCAGCCCTTACAGCAAGTCGTTATGTAGCTCAATGGCGGATCTAGATGGGTGGGGAGTGAGGGTGGTTTTTTTAGTGTAACAAAACCAGTGCTCGTGGCCAGGCCAGAAGTAGTAGACATCCTTTGTGTCTCAGACCCATACCCGTTCTCGTGGCTAGAACAATGGTAGTAGAGATCCTTGACCCGCGTCGCCTTATCCTGTTTCTGCCCCCTCCACAAATCGTAAATAATAACAGACTAGCGCTAGGAGCTGAAAGCAAACCTACCTCCACTTGAGCAGGATACTGAGACAGTAATTTAAAACAGATGAGCCGCCCTTGACATCTATTCTCACGTAACATGAGTGTTCAGGTCAGTATAACTTGAAAACAAAGTCCTAAAAAATGAACCCCTCCGGCTTGCTAGCTGCGAGTAAACAAACCCAAGCCTCAGTCAGCTTCTTGACCGCACGTTACATGTCTCTATATCGAGTCAGTCTATCCACGCAGCAGTAGGGTGTACAGTGAACGAGCAGCAGTCTCATTCAGTCCGCAAGTGAATGCCTAGACGTCACACAGTCAAACATTGTTATGTATTGAGGTTAGATAAAAATAATTCTATAAAGGAACCCTCATGTCTCCTCCCCTTAAGACTTGAAAAGGGGAGTGTAGTTGCTGCTGAAAAGGGGATATGTGTGTGTGGGGAGGGTTGTGTGGTTGTTTTAAGGTCCACAGTTGATACTATTCCAACTATATCACAGATGTCACTGAACGGGTGAGTGAATGTCGTTTAAGGTCGCAATTTGAAATAGCCCAGCTACACGACGGCGGTCTGTAATTATTCGAGTCTATCCCATGCAGGGAATCGAACCTGTTATTCGGTGCGACGAGCGAATGTTTTACCCACTGGGCTACAAGCCATAACAATTCAATTTTCTTCAACACCCACTTCAGTGAAACCCACGAGCACGGGTATGACGCTTACAAACCTAGAAACATAATTGGGGCGAACCCGGATTCGAACCCACAATCATAGGTTTCTGGCGTGAACAAGGGACGCAACTCTGCCAGCGAATGGTGAGGTGAAATTGGGTTTAACGTCGCGTCCAAGATTATTGCATTTTGTGTGTGTGTGTGTATGTGTGTGTGTGTGTGTGCGCGCGCGCTAGTCCGGACTGATGCCGATTTATAGTGCTAGCCCACTGATCATGAGATACCATGCCGCAGTTTAACATGAATACCCCACTCAAACACAGTATACTGACTCTGAGCCGACCAGTCCTTGTTTTAGCCCCTTAATGCCGAGCGCCAATCAGGGTAACAACAAGTACCATCTTTTAACGTCTTGCCAGCGAATGACGGCGCCTTAAGGGGCATTCACACGGTACAACTAGTTGTATACAATTTGTTGCATGCAACACATTGCATCGTGTGAACGGGCAAGTCGGTCCAACTTTTGACGCATGCAATTTGTTGGACGTGAGTTGTACGGACATGCTCTATTTTCATGCGACAAGTTGTATGAACGCAGCCAATCAAAACGCGTATGAAAATCACGTGACATTTACACGTCAATTTGTAAACAAAAATGGCGACGCCGATTCACGTCGCTAACTCGTAGAATACCACTGTACCAAATTATATATTTTGACATTTGCATCGGTCTAGTTCTCCTGGTTAAACTGTTCATGGTGTTATTTGAAACGACAGGCTATGTGACTGTACACTGTAGTGTAGACCAATTGCAAGATGAGATTAGGTCCATAATACGTTTCTAAAACTTAAAATACATCATACACACAAATACACGTCACAGTTTTAGATTCTGTGGGAAAGTATCTATAATATGATGACATTAACAACTATTTTAGCCCAAGCATATGTATCACTAACGACATCTGAAAATAGTGTACAACGAAAAAAATGCCATTTTAGCATTTTACCAATTCACTGTTCCAAATGTGATTAGGATTATTTATTCAAATAACGTATAGCTACATGAGAAGTTCAATTACAAAACCATTGGGTGTCTGCCCTTTGTCAAAACACCAATCATCATTCCGAAAAGACTCCCATACCCCTATATTCGTTTTCGAAACATAAAAACTCTGGACCGAACCTCAACGTTGGATAGCGTTGCAAAATCACGGTTCTTTTCGCGTCAGGCGAGATGCCTGTCACATCACATGTATTTCACACTCAGCTACGATACATACATCCCTGAATTCATCATACCATTAGGCCTAACAATCAATTGACATTTTGTCTAAGTCACTAATACAAACGGTCCAAATGAAATCAACCGCAATATTCAAGTGTGAAACCAAACCCTGTGCTCTGAAACCTACCAGTGGGCCTTCTCATTAAAATGTAAACAAAGCAAACCTCTAGTTTTGCTTAACATTTTCTACTATTCCGAGAGATTCGGTCGTCAATTTGTTGCATACATTAGCTCAGATTATTACGAATATGCATGGGTCGATAATCGTTGCAAGAATTGAGGGATTAATAATTAGAGTCCAGATACTTATTTGGAAAAGTCAACAGAAATCGTTCAACGTGCCGCCATGATTGACGCAAAATCACGCACACTGACGACGGTATTGGTCTGCCTTTCCACGTTGTATCAAGGCGAGAATGGAAACGTAATAACAAATAGAACTAAGTTGATTTCAGATTGATTCTGATTACTTAACTTACATGACTCATTTATGTATAGATCCCAGCATCACGGTAAAACCTACTCCAAACATTCCGGAACTGCTATCACTGAACTCGCTATGTTATGACGGGACGTTACCGGTAGTGATGTCATATTATATACGTCAGCATCAACATCGTTGTACAAATTTGTTATTTTCTTCGAGGTGCTGGTGAACTAGTACACAAGGCATTCAGTTCATGAAGTAGTTTACTGTTTCAGTCTTGAATTATAATTTGAATATCTCTTCAATATCGTTTCACCCAGTAAAAAAATGTACTGCTGCAAAATGGGTACATGTATGCAGTACTGTTACTTATATAATCTAACATGCCATAGAATTTATGAAACTCATAATACTGCAACATATACATATTTCCTTTGGAGAATTGTGAAATATTAATTGTGGCAAATTTATATAGATAGGTTAAATAAAACATGCATTTCCTTTGGAGAATTGTGAAATATTAATTGTGGCAAATTTATATAGATAGATTAAATAAAACATGCACTTCATTTCTTAAATTAAAGTAAATGTATACCTGAAGGAAATTCGTCACGTTATATTTTTTATTAATGTATAACTCATGTTTGGACAACTACTTGACTTACATTTGAATTTTATCGTTTAATTGGCGGAACATTGACAGCTAAAGATTGCATCAGGTGCGCGCTTCAAAATAGAGGCCGACCATTTGAGATTCCAGGGTGGAGGTGGGTCATGGTCTGTTGGGGTTTGGGTGTGCGTTGCCCAATAAAGCCCAACATTCTGTTCTTTTAATCGAAATTTTCTATACTATAACCGAATATGAGTGGTAATATACTGTTACTTTTTTGTGTTACCGATTTCAACGTTTCTTATTAATTGGGAAATAAGCTAAAAGTATCTGGTTTCAACTGGCCAAAGGGCACTTTCTGGATTTATATAGTTCATTCTTCTATATTATAACAAAATCTGAAATATGTCTTCAGGACATTTTGCATGACAATCATTCAATGTCCCAGAAAAGGAACCGATGCGGTTATTAAAATCGATAGCTGTGTGGGAACTTTGTAGATACACATGAACAAAAAGATACTAGAATGTATTGTCCTGAGCCAAAGCAGATGCTCACCACGGACATGACGGAAACTGGGTATTGCTATGACTAGGTGAAGAATTGGGGAGTTATGCCCCTTTTTGTCTTTGTACATGTGGACATTGCCCTCGTGTTTTGACGTCATGTAACGGAAATTTGTTTTCGCCACATAAAACAAGTACGTTTTCATATCAAATGTGTCACGTTATACATTTAATTTTCCATCATTGGGTTAAAAATTCAATAATATACAAGTACGTTAAATTGCAAAGTCAGAGGTTGGTCCAGTACCGCGCGACCGCAATTCTCGCACAGCGTTGATTTTTCAAAGCGATGCGTCTGAACATTAACTCAGCAACCAAGATTCCAGCGATAATGTAGTGAATCACAAGTTTTTTGTCAGAGATCTCGCGAGACCCGAGTTGTATGCAACTCGCCGCCGTGTGAATGCCCAGTTGTATACAACTTCAGTTCGTGCAACTAATTGTATACATTAGAAGTGGCCAACCACATTACGTACGTTGGTGGTACTTCTAGTCCTACCAATGTAGAGATCGGCGCTTTCTTTTTTCAAGAACGGCATATTTTACCTTCTGAATGTTCTAACCCACATGCGAAGAAAGTTAAATAGTTAAATAGGTACCGTCCATGGACTTCTCATAGCAATTCAGAGTCACTGCATCAATTTCACTTAAAACACAAATCACGTGCATCACGTGCAGGTTATTACGCCACCGACTTTCCAGCTAAACGTTTTCCCCCAGAATCGTGTTATCCTTGCTAGCTCAATATACAAGATATGGGTTACCCAAGCCTATCCGTAGCAGTGAGTAAGTGAGAATGGTTTTACGCAGCTTTCAGCAATTCTCCAGCAATACCACGACGGGGGACACATAAAATAGGCTTTACACATTGTACCCAAGTGGGGAATCGAACCCGGGCTTTCATAGACCTCCGTGGTCTAGTGGATAGAGCGTCTGCCCGGAGACCGGAAGTTCGATGGTTCGATCCCTGGCAGCGTCATACCAAAAAGATGGTACTTGTTGTTACCCTGCCTGTCGCTCGGCATTTAAAGTGATAAAACCACGGATGGTCAGCTCGGAGTCAGTATTCTGTATCTGCGTGGGGTATTCATGTTAAACTGCGGCATGGTATCTCAGTGGAGTAGGACTATAAAATAGGCATTAGTCCGGACTAGTACACGCAGCAACGCAGCCCAGCAGCCACGCAGCCACACAAACACACACGTGCATGTACGTTGCCATATAAGTGAAATAATCCTGAAACTATTCTCCATTTCCACTCACCTCCCCGTTCACTTGCCTGTGTTGGTAATCACCAAGCGCCCAATTAGTTTTAGGGCGTCTTCGTTAAGGACGCCACCACTGCGGTATGCACGAGCACATTTGTCATCCACTATTACGTAACACACAATCCTCAACTCCAGGGTGTGACTTGCCGGTGATGTTGCCGCCCCCACAGACATACCTCTGTGGGCCTCTGACCCATGGCGGACAAAGTATCCAGGCTAAGAATCATGACAAATGGCTGTTCTTGGTAAGCGTATATTTTGCCCATTACTGTCCCGTGTTGAATTGGTCCCCAGTACCCCATGCTTGCCATTAGAGTCCGCGACTATGCTTGTCGAAAGTGGAGACTAACGGAATCGGGTGGTCAGGCTCGCTGACTTGGTTGAAGTATGTCATCGATCCCAATTGCGTGGATCGATGCTCATGATATTAATCACTGGATTGTCTGGTCCAGACTC